TTTTGCATACGCGATTTGTCTATAAAACCCACCACTGCTTGATACCATCCACTGTAATTCCCAGGCATGTTTAACGAATCTAAGTATTTAACGAGCTAACTAAGCTTGAGCTTCGTAATTCTGAAGCACAGGTCGAACTCGACCACAAAATAAAGCTCAATTAACTTAATGAGTTGAGCTTRATAACATCAATCATTTDATAGKCTYGTCTCTAAATTATTATATCCGAGTCAAACCGAGTCATCGCAACATACACTTCTAACATAGTGATATGTTAATAAGCCAAATCAAACTATAAAACAAAAACTCGTTGCTACTACCTCRAACAATGAAAATATATTTGAGTTTCARCATTATTTTGGCAAAATTAATCGAGCTGGAGTCTGATATTTAGGGTGTGCAAAACCCGAATGATTCGAAATCCGAACACGAACATGACCAAAAATAAGATGTTTRTCTAGAAAAACCGRATGCTCTGAAATCCGAAGATCCGAAACCCTACTTTTGGGTTTGGATTGTGTTTGATTTTTGGCCATACGATCCATCCAAAAAACCCGAAATATATATACATCTATATATATCTAATTATCTTTTAAAAATCATATATCTTAGTCAATCGTATTCTTTTTTAATTTCATCAATTCTCTCAAATGGATTGAATATATATATATATATATATATATATATTGCATTATAACTATATCCGAACCTGATTGACCTCAACCGGGACCAATCTGGATTCTGATCGGATTTTTTGGTTTGCCCACTCAAACCTGTCACGCACAACCCAACTCACTAATATTCATATTACTAATCTAGTTTATTTCAGTTTGTGATCATATTTAATCTCAATAATATTTGTATACAATTTGTTTAATAGATAAATAAGAGACTACCGAAGAACAAAAGAAGCATTGAATTTTTATATTTAAAGTGAAGCTAATTATTTTATACAAGAAAGATTGAAGATTTAGAAATTAGGTAGAGGCCGCGCGAACGCAGGCCTCCTCTGTCACAAATTATGACGTAGGTTCGACCACTTGGGCCGACCTTAGGCGGGCACCCCTCCAAAGTGCAATGGAGGTCACCAACMTAGACMATAGGCCTTTTTGATCACCCATTGATCCCGTCCAGGTAAGTAAGTAAAAWSTTCRACCACACCCGTCTTAAATAACCTTTGCTCTGACTTTATATCTCATTCTGACACCAATGTGGGATGAAATGGATAGCTTATACACCCAAACAATATACCTACAAAGCAAGCAAACTTAAAGGTTAACTTATATGTGGATCTGAATTCT